CATCTCAATATGTTGGCAACTTTTGAACTTATTTTTTTAGTCACAAACGGCAATACCTTCTAATCTAATCTATTGGTACTTTAGACAGAATTAAAGATCGAAGTTTCTTTCTTTCTTTTTTCTCCAAATTTTAACACTAAAGAATGAATATAGTTATAATCACTTGAAAATAATCCTTTCATATCAAAGAATCTTTTCAAATTATTTTTCCAGTATATACTATATAATAATCAAAATTAAATAATGTAATGAAATGATAATAAAATGATCGATTGAAAATTTTGATGATAATTGAAAAGATTCAATGGGAAACAATTATCATAACATATATCATACAGCCCAATGAAAAGCATAAAGTGACGAAGGTGGATGTAATAACCAAACAGCAGCATCTTTTAAATCACAAATTTTTCGTTAGCAGAAAAACACGTGTTCTCGAGCTCAAATAAATGTGGACAGTTGTAGTGGTGATAGGAGAACGATCAGTCAGTAGTTAGTCAATAAAACCACAAACAAAAATTGTAAACTTCTCTAACCAACTATGATAAGAATTTTTGTGATTGCTCAATTATCACACCATATCACTAATAATCTTTCCTTAACAAAGCTTACCAATAGGTCACATAAAATCATAGAGTTTGGACTTGAATCAAACTTGTTGTATTTAATTTAGTGAGGAGTGACATTGATTATAAGTTGTAAAAGAGAGAATAAAAAAGGATAATTTCTCAAAAAACCAACAACATCCACTTCAGATGACATCAGTCATTTTAAAGGCTGGCAAGAAAACCAAATGCTTCATGCAGATTTCATTTCATTTCATTCCATTCCATCTATTCTATCAGGAAAATCACTTCTGAGCTATAATTTATAGATAAATGAAATCAATGAATTTATGTTATGAATTCTTTAAATTTAAAGTTTGAAGTCTTTTTTCTTTTTTGTTTAAAAATTAAACAATTAGTCTTTTTGAAAATATAATCAAATAAATTTACTATAAATTAATATTTTATCTGATACAGAGAACATTTTTCACTCTGTTTAGAATGATAATAATTTATGAAATTTGATGAAAAAAGATAATTTCTGGTTAATAGCCAGCCTGATCGATTACTCTAACAAGCCAGCCTGATCGATTTACTCTTATTTTAAATTCGACGTTAATTTCCAACATTGTACAATACATATTACTTTTTAGTTTGCAACAATAATTGTTTATTTAATCAACTAAATTATACTTTAGTTAATAATTTCTGCTTAAGAAATCTCTCCCTTCCACCACCAAAAAGAGAAAATGCAAGCAATTCTAACGATGTGATCATTTTTCTTTATCATTTTAGAAATTCGTCTAATTCAAAAAATTAACAAAATACTATTCCTCCAAATTATCGTTATNTAAGAAATCTCTCCCTTCCACCACCAAAAAGAGAAAATGCAAGCAATTCTAACGATGTGATCATTTTTCTTTATCATTTTAGAAATTCGTCTAATTCAAAAAATTAACAAAATACTATTCCTCCAAATTATCGTTATATTCTTATCATATCGAAGTGTTTCGTTGTACTCGTTGTACTCGTAGAATTCTATATTATAAAAATCTTTTGTATCAAATATTCTTAGCAAATGATTTGATATGCTTTGTTTTATAGCTCAATTCATAATTCTAAACAATACTGTAAATGATTTACATTAAATTCCCTTTTATCATCAGCTTTATAATATACTCAAGCAATTCTTTGTTCACCATCAGCTTCACTGTCTATTTATTACAAACAGGGCTTGTTGACCACCGCTCAACTCAAAAGGGCGTATATATGTTATATACATATAAAATATATAAAATATATATTTTATTTTATTTTATTTCGTATATATATTTTATTTCGTATATATAAAAGGGCGTATATGTTACTTACTGCTCTGAAACAAACCGGTCTTACTGTCTACGCTCCTCTGAACTAATGTCTCAACGAAGAGTCCAAATTGTTCTTCCGAATCAACAATAAAAATGAATAATCAAGTGATCGACTTAATTGACAGTACTTTCTGACAGTTGTATTATAACGTCAGGAAGAATAAGCTAAGCTTATCTCCCACCAAGAATAATCTCTTTAGCAATCTTTATCTAAAATAACAAACTTCTCAAACCAAAAAGTTTCACATCATCATCTAATGCTTTGAATTAAAGCGCGTATTTTCTTTTTCCTCCTTAATATTAAAATTTTGAGTGAAAAAGTTTTCTGACAGAAAGTTGAGAGTTTATTAAATATTGTAAAATTTCCAATAATCCATCTCGAATAAAATTCCTTGCTACCAATTTCGACATTTTTATTGATCGCAGCAGCTTTTTCTCATTTCTCAAAAAAAAGTCAAGTCGATGTTGAGGAGTACAAGTTTCCTTCAATAAGCTGTTAAGATTGTTTTAACAAGTTAATTAATAAGTTTAGCGGATTTGTATATAGTTAAAACTTCCACTGCAATAACTTGGTAAATTTACAGAGTTCATTCCCGAGAGACGAAACAACACAATACTTCTTCACTTTATCATCTTTAATCCACTTTTCGCCTTATTCATCTTTACTTCATACTCTGGCCTGTACTAAACTTACCTCTTTGTTGTTCCAGTTAAACATTGTTAAATCATCATATCATAAAAATTCTAAGTTTTGTTAAAATTCAAATCGAGTGGAAAATATATGAACGCTCATTTGTTCTGGCTTGAAAATTTCGGCAAGGATTATATCCATCAAAATTAAATTCATCAACTTTTCATTCGAATACATTTAGGCATTGAAAATAAGTATTAGAAAACAATACCTCTTATTTTCTCTTAATTTTTGTATTCTAATTTATTCTTTATCTTTTCAAGAATGGAAACAGAAGTACAAATATATGAAATGGAAAAGTTCCTGTTTGGAAATGTGCAAAAAAAGTAGAACTTTTCGATAAAATTAGAATGGAGAGACTAGCGTCAATTTCAAAAAGTTTCCCTGTGGAGTACTATATGTCTAATCTCAAGCGAAGTTATTGGCGGATTAAGCTATCATCAGCCCAAGTTATTATGCTTTGAATTGCTCAGTCATCGTTATTTTGCATCACAAGTATTCAGGTCAGGTTTCACAAGAATATTTAAATACTAAATAAAATTAGGGTATTTCTACTATTCAATAGATAGAAATTCTCGGATGCAATGAATCAAAAAATGTTTGGAAAAATGAACACATAGATTTATAAATTAATTTGTGCTTTCCTTTAAACTGAAATCATAAGGACTATTTCACATTGCAATTGAGAAATTTTGGAAATACGAACAATTCGTAATTGAAAGTTGATTAAAAATTCAAGAAAAAAATAATTTGAAAAGCGATGCCTGCCATCTACCAATATTTCGTAGAAAAGTTGTCAGCTTCATAAGCGCTTCGCGTGCGAAGAAAAAATTCAACGATTATAACACATTCTTGACGGTCAAAAAAAATGTTCGGAAAAGATTTTTGCTTCTCTCACTTTTCTTCAATTTTCCTTCAAAACAAAAGAGTTAGTTCCATTTGTTTTGTTGCAGAATCAGAATTCTTCATAATCTATATTTTGTAGCCAACATATAATTTGGAGATGTGGAGTGAAAGCAAGTAATCATTGAAATATGCAACACAATCAACAAAATGAGGAAACAGGAAACTGCAATGAACGGATGAAAGCTTTTTAGAATTTTAATCAAATAAATTGTAAGGTAAAAAAGTTAACACTTATTTTAACTTTCTAAGTGGTAGTTAGACAAAACTGCATCTTTGGAGAGTGAAGTTTTGATGAAGATTTGTCATGATGAACAAGAGAAAACAAGGATGCTGATGACCCCATTCTCTATCTCTCCTTTCTTATGATCGGTATCAGCTATTGTGATTGGACAAAATTCGTACTAAAATCTGATCAACAGCATTGCTGAATTCGGTAAAACATCAATTTTTCTGCTGATAGCAGCAAACAACTTTATACCAATTCGCACAATTTTGCAACCTAAACAGTACAATTAATACTTTTATCTCAAAATTTACTCGTAAACCAAGCTGACATCAAGTCTGTAAGGGAATATGTATGAAACAAATATAATGAAAATGATTAACAAACTCAAGTTAGCATTAAAAAAATTTTTTTTGACAAATTGAAGCTTTTTATTAACAAACTCAAGCCGACATAAAAAAAATAGGCATTATAAAAATAGAACTGTTCCATCTCCTAACTGATTTTTCAAACAATTTTTTTTTCTCTACAATGAACTTATGATAAAACATCGAATTTTGAGCATAACTCCTTGTCTTCCTGTTTAACAATTTATTTTTTTTTCGGTCTTCAATTTTTCTCTACGTTTTTAACATTACTTGCGTTTCGCTTTATACTGGGCTGGTTGTTTGGATCGAAGGGATCAGGCAAAACAATATCTGCAAAAACAATTATAGATCCACGAGATGTGACAATTACGAATCATCAGATGTTAATGCTGCAAATCATTTTGTATTTAAGCGTATTCCTAATCAGAATAAAACGTTTGCACAGTTTTAACAAATGAATAGAAAAACGAATCATAAAAAGATTTGCTCTTCTCGTAATATAGATATACCCTAGGGATCTATGAGAAATTAAACAAATAACAATCTAGGAACTAAAAAATAACCTGGTTTTGACTCGAAAAATGTATAACTCAATACTAAACTATCCGTATATTCCAAATCTGGATCATTTGTATAATCGGGATCGATGTAGAAGAAAACAGGTAAATCCACCTGTTCTCCCGGATTAAGGATCTGATCCTCGAAGCAGAAACATTGGATTTTGTTGAAGTAATACGCCGCCTACGAATTAGGAAAAGGTAAAAGTACAATTTTAACAAACACAATAGTAAGTGAGGAGTGATGAAAAGCAATTTCTAAAAATGAATTTTTGAAAAAGTGTAGAAATTAAAAGCATTACCTGAAAAGGTGAGACATTGTAGCTGCTAATACCAACCACCGACTTATCTGTTGGATTATAAGCACTGTAGAAAACAAGCGCTGTCTCTCCTGGATGTACATAAATTTCTTTTTGCAACGGTTTGAACTGCCATTTCAAGGCGGAGTGAACGTCAGCGTTAAAAGACACGCGTATCAATCGATCCTTGATTTTTTCCATTGATGCAACGCGTTCTATATCATCAGCAATCTACAAAAAAATTAAGGAATAATAAATTTAAGTTTTGAAATAATTTAAAAACTGTCTCGCAATGAACATTATTATGTCAAATCGGCACTTTTCAGGAGAGTAATTATTATTGATTAATAAATGGCATTTTTTGACAAATAACTATGTAATTAGTTGCCGAAAGTTTATATAGTAACAAATGTTAAATTTTTTGCCTTTGTTAATCCGATGGTAGCAGTCTTTTCACAAAACAATCGATATGCAGGTACAGAAAGTACTGCAAAACTGAAGAATAGCACACCGACACTTCCCAAATAATACATCGCATTCTTGGACTTTATATAGCGCCTGGTCCAGTTTGTGAATAGTCGGCATAGCTGTTTCGATGGAAGACTACTGCATAATATTGCCAACGAACCACAACGATTTATGCCACAACCAGCACTACGAATAAGTGTTAGCATCAGAAAATGTCCATAGCATAAAGTGCTGTGTAAATGATATGGAATATTTTCTACAAAAAAATTAAGCTTTATTTATCCCAATCGCAAAATTTGACTTTAATTCAAAATCAAATTTAACCTTTAGGTTATTGAAACTACAACTATAGCGTACATGACACTTTTCCAACATCAATCATTATGACACCCCTTACAACTCAGGCTTGATTATAAAAAGTAATCAAGCCTGAATTATTGAATGTTTATTAAACTTAGACCATCAAAGATAAGCTTTTTAAAAATAAATAATCACCAAACTTATTCATAAAAGATGGGCTTTCTTCGCCTCTTTCAATTGCAGTTTCTATACTAAAATAGAAGGTAGCACCAGCAAACCTCCCTCAAACCACTCAGTCCAACAATCATGAAACGAAAATAGATTCATTTACTCTAACATTTGATCTTGTAGGGGTGATGCTAATGCGAATTTCTTAAAATCTTAGTTTCGATATTTTAAGCGGGAATGCCAAATAATGAAAACAGATTCATTTACTGCTCGGAGTTGAGAAGGAAGAAAGTGGATCGCTAGAAGTCAATCAAATTAGGATGAAAAAATAAATTTATCATACCAACAAATCAATTTAAAAAAAAGTAGACATGGTAAAAGAAATATAAGCTATTTCGCTAATATGTATAAATATTACGCTATATTTGAAAGTTCTGCATTATAGAAGTTAATCGGATAAAAGTGAACAGCGATGAAATTCCTTTCACGAGGAGGTGAAGGATAAGGAAGACAACTGCTAATTTAATTAGGTAACACACTCCAGTGTTCCAATTTGATCCCAAAATTTAACTTTTTTTAACTTGATCTCCTTTATTTCGTTTTTTTCTAAACAAGTTTTGCATCAATCCAAGCTCCAAGTATTGAAACTTCAAAGCGTTTATAATTTCCTAACCGTTATTGGTAGGAGTGAATTAATCTTAAAATTCTTGCCCTTTACAAATTTAAGCCCCATTAAAACAAGAAAAGGTTACAAAATCAAACAGGCATATTGTACCCGTAACTCACGAAGTTTTATATATGCACTCATAACTCATATCTGAGCAGGAACAGTTTTATTTATTAATAAAAAATCAGTAATTCTAAATTTCTTGGGCTGTTATTTTTCCGAAACTAATTAATTGCTAAATATTTTTAAATGATGATAAGAAATAAAACGCTTTTTACACGTTTCACGTGTCTATTTCAAAGATTTGAGCCATAAAAGAATTTCATTTAGAATAAAAATCAGCAAATTTAAGCACTACTAATAAAAACAAATATCTGCGCTCTATAAAGAAATCATAAAGTCATAACAGGCATATTTAATAACTAGAAATCTACCATCACGTCATTCATACAGTAGAAAGTTTAAACTCAACGTACGTGACATCTCGTATTCGCGATTAAGTTGCAGTTGTTCCACTTTTAGAAACTCTCGATATTAATCAAAATGTTTCGAAACTAAATTATACGATCTAAATCCCAAGAGAGCTCAAAACCCATTTATCATCCACACTAATACTGTCTAACTTTTACAGTCATATGAGAACAGCTATGAATAATTTCATCCAAACATATATGCAAAATATGAGAAGAGTTGATTTTCAAAGCAGCGCAAGTTCCATAGATAATTAATTTTGAAAGATTGGTTTTCAGCATACAAAAACTACGATGAAATAACTTCAAAAAATTAAAAAAAAATCTCCTAATTAACAAATAAAATAACAGTAAACAAGATAATTATAAGAGAGACTCATTTTGCAACTATTTCATAAAACAATAATGTACAATATGAAAAACTGCGGAAACTGTTGACAATCTATAAAAACTTTGCACTGATTTCTTTCTTTTAAATCACTGTATCAAATCAATAGTAAGTGAGTAATTTTGCATAAAAATAATTAACAAAGTTGATTGAAAAATGTCATAATAACTAGAATTTAAATTGCAAATTTTTACTTAATACTTCCAACTTTTTAAACATATGCATGCGAATTCAGTAGCAAATGGGTGAATTTAATGAAAACATTAAAAAAATTTAATCAAATAAAAATAATGAAATAAATAAATATAACTAAAACCCAATCTTCTTGTACTGTTTAGCAGGAACAGCTTGATTTTAGGTTCAAGAATATGTTATATTTCATTTCGATAAAATGGAAGCGTAAAGTGATGCTATTGAAGTAATCAATATTGGTCCCTATAACTAAGAAGCTATAAGGTAATAATTAAATTTGAAAGTATTTCAGGCAAATTGGCTCTCGCAGCATTTGGAATACAAACTTAATTGATTAGACTCATATTATGAATTCATTTCAAAATTTTCAACAATAACGAATTACTGACACTACCATTGTTGAAAATAAAAAATCATAAATTTTTCCGAGTTGCAAAGAAAGTTTTCGATCTATCATCTGTTCCATCTTCTTTTCCATAATCTTTCAGCATCATTTGATCATATTCCAGTTCCTCTCGAAAGTAATCAATTGTCTTAAGTAAACCATCATGCATCGAAACTAAAGGCTTCCAATTCAATTTTTCATTAGCTCGTGAGATATCAGGCTTGCGTTGTTGTGGATCATCCTGCTGTCCAGGTTCATGAACAATACTCGAATTACTACCTACTAAATCACGGACCAACTCTGCAAATTCATTAATTGTTCTTTCTTCAGGATTTCCTAAATTAACTGGATCTGTGCAGTTACTTTCCATTAATCTGATTAATCCTGTCACCAAATCATCCACATACTGGAACGAACGTGTCTGTTTTCCATTACCATAGATGGTTATCGGATGACCACGCAAAGCTTGCAAGATGAAATTACTTACAACACGACCATCGTTCATATGCATTCGAGGTCCAAATGTATTGAATATCCGAGCAATTCGGATGTCCACTTTCTCTTGGACATGATAAGCAATCATCAATGTCTCCGCAACCCGCTTCCCTTCATCGTAGCACGATCGTGGTCCTACTGGATTTACATGACCCCAGTAATTTTCTGGTTGTGGATGTACTCCTGGATTACCATAAATTTCAGATGTTGAGGCTAATAATATACGTGCTTTCAATCTCCTCGCTAAGCCTAACATATTTATGGTGCCAATGGTGTTCGTTTTGATGGTTTTTACAGGATTATACATATAATGGATTGGTGATGCAGGGGAAGCAAGGTGATAGATTTCATCTACTTCAGTAAGATATGAATTAACTACATCATGATGGACAAGCTCGAAATTAGGGTGTCCAACCCAGTGTTCCACATTTCGTTTTCGACCGGTGAAATAATTATCAAGTGCGACTACCTCATGTCCATCAAGCATCAAATGATCTACCAAATGAGAACCGACAAAGCCCGCACCACCGGTGACAAGAATCCGTTTCCGGTTTGCTTCATTTTGATATCTTACGCTGACATACCCTCCATCGTCCGACTTTTGCAGCGTCTTGATCTGATATGAATTCTTTTTCAATCGAGCAAATTCCTGCTGAACAGAGTGCATTTGTATTTTAAGCTTCTCTAAGGCCAAATAATCCTCAAGCAATCTTTGATTTATTTCATCTACTGAAAACGTTTTCCATGCAGAATCATTAGGAATTGACAGGTGTCGGAACAAACTCCATACATTAGACGGAAAATGGAGATTACAATATGTGAATATGATGAGCAACAGTGAACAACACAAAAGCGCTAATTTCTGAAAGCGCCAGCAGAACAATGGTAAGCCGAAACTCATAATAAGAATGGATTTTTGGACGACTAGCCAAAGTAAAGGTAGACATACATTCCTACCCGATCCCTGTTGGATAATACATCAACCACACTGCAACCTTATACTACAGCGAGAGAAAAGAGGAATATGAAAATAGAGAGAAACAGAGGAGAACGGGTGAATGTCGAAATAGTACGGAAAGGAATGAGAGTGTTGGCATGCTAGTAGGCAAAAAATGCTTGCTAGGATGAATATGGAGGTCAGAGTGCAGAGGTCATAGACTGGTATCGTATTATTGTATAATACGGACATTTACGAATAAATATGACTTGTATCCTCTCATTCTTATAGCCAGCTGGAGAGAGACAATTACTATTAATTAATGCAGAACGGGGAATAGAGGAAAGGAACGGGTATTTCTTTGAGAGAACTTTCCTTTGGGAGAGAGAGTAGGTGAATACTCTTCTTGTCTTCATAAAATGCAACAAGCAAGATATTTGAGAGTAGGATTTACCCATAGCAACAATATTAGTATGCATTCCATTATCTTAATCTCACAATTTTTAGCCATTTCCGCTTTCCCGCGGGAAAGCTAAGATTTTGCTTGTTTTCTTCCCCGGTAACATGCTTTTTTATAATTGCTGATCTGCGGAATTTGAAATTTTAATCACATTTTTAAGTTTCTTCAAATGGAGACTAAATTCAGTCGGTGAAGTAACAACTTATGTAAAGACCTGGGATATTTGATCATGCAGGTATATGAGAGTTGTTAATTTTATAATTTATTAATTCGAGCAATAAGCATCTGTTATCGATAAATTCTTCGGTTCTTTCAAGATAATTCAATTAATGATTTTGATTTTATTTTCGGCATGTATTTTGTCTGATAACATTTTTCATATGACATTCATATAATCTTTGTTATTGGTTTTTTCAACAAAATAAAATGAAATCATGCCAGAAATGTTGATAAACTTAAATTTTTAATTGATATTAACAAAATTAATTTCTTCATTATGTAACAATATTGTATGAATTATTTTTCAACAGCCGTTTTTAAAAGATGTCATATGTCAAATTATCTCTCATCAAATAAAGGGAATAGTTTAATTGAGTTATTATTGCTAAAGAATGAAACTTAGCTTCCAAAAAAAATAGAAACTAACATTAAATTTTAAAATGATCAATTAAAAGTAATTATGAATTTAAAATTGCTTAATTTCGACAGTAATATTTGACATAATTTGATTTTCATTCTCAAATATTTCTATTGTAAGTTAAATTTTTTGTAATATTTATATTGCATTAACAACAACCTTAGCGAAGAGAGCGTTTATGACAACATTGCAAGATAATTGCGAACAGCGCCGTTTTGTTATCTCTCAGAATTTTTTTAAGTGTCAGAATTTTAACGATTTTGATTTTGAAATTTGCAAATATTTTTGTGGTCATTTCTCCATGAAAAATTTGCTTAATATAATTTGAGATTGATATTATGTTTCAGTTCTTATCCTAAATAATAAGAACTATCTTCATCTTCATTTTGGTATTTAAATTAGCAATGGCATCAATTCTCAGCATCATATTGCAACAGTTATCTGTGTACATTAGTATATATCGCTGAGCTATTTTATCCGAAATACGGAACGCATTTCTTTTCAGGAATTTCCACTTTAAAAAAAAAGTATTCTCAAGTGTTTCAGAGTTTTTTTATGAATGAATGAAATCATATCAAAAATTGGTTGCAAATAATTTCATAGTTATCGATATGCATTGATATTCTGTGCATTGATCGAATTTTTGCAGTTTAAGATTGATCTTTCTTCTCTTCTGTTTTGCCTAAAAGGTAAACTTTTACAATTAGCTATAGTTTTTATCGGATTTATTTCATAGCAAAAATTATTATTGTAATTTCACTGTAAGCTTTATTATATATGGAGGAGTGATGATTATGAATATTTTTAAATTTTATGCTGACATCGATATATGCCTATCTAAAATATACATATACAAGCAAGTTTGTTCATATTCGAAGCCTATTCTCCTCGTCCCTCAGGTAATAGCAGCTAAGGCATCAAACAAACAATATATTATCATTATTCTGGCTATTTCTCCTTCTAATCTCTCTTATCCATTATTCTTACTTTAATGAGTGAATTGTTACTAATTAGTCGTAGCCTTAATATATTCTGCAAATAAGCATTCCAAATAAAGTTGCCTACGAAATAGGTACAGGAACGAAGCGAGCATTTTACTTATTTTTTCCAAAATCTATGGATTGCCAGGTAACACTGACTCAGGGAATATCCCAGTAAAAGGCTTGCTTCGTTCCGAATATTCTCGATCTCGCTTAAATATAAAAGATGTAGTTTAAACAAGTATCGGAAGTGAAACTGCACATGTAAAAAACTGGAAATAGTATTTTACTATTTTCGGAAAATGACGACGGATCGAAAGTACCAACGACAGTAGTTTGGAAAGAATAAAACTGAAAGACGTTTCTCTAAATGTGTCAAAGACTGCATAATTCATCTTTAAAATTAAAATTCAAAATAACCAAGGTCGATGTTGTGAGTAATGCCTACTTAGAATAAGGCCTGTTCCTCAATATGCTTTACCCTCAAAAATCCATACGGCTAGTTCCCCTCAGCCAATATCTTCCAGCAACTACACCTACTGATGTCAGGCCTTAATGTCCGAAATGCGGGATATCTCAGACGAATCGTATATTATATATATGTGTGTGTGTATGTGTATGCGTGTGCGTATTTGCTCCTGTAAGGATAGGGGAGATGTAGAGAGGAACAGTTGTGAGAAGCTGCATGTGAGTGGGGAAGAGGGTGATCGATAGTGGGCAGGGCGAGTAGAGGCAGTGGTCGTATCTGCGAGGAGTTGATGCGGATGACATGTGGACGTTGTGGTTGCCACTGCCAAGTATGTCCGTTATTGATTTCTCCGGAGCCTCCTCCGGTATGTCTCGGAGGACGGAATGGAACGCGTCGCATACACCCCTCCTTCTGAAGTCGCCGGATGATACCTCAACGATTCATCTGTACCAATCCTGTAATTGTGTCGCGTGTGCTTTTCTTCCGATCATAACCCACCCGCCTGGGAGGTATCGATCGATTATCATTGATTGATGATGATGTATGATTATGATCTGATAATGCCAGTGATTATGATTTATTAGGCTTTACTATCAACTTATACTCGAGTCCTGTCGACCTGCTTCTTTCCGTCCTTTACCGACAAATCTTCCTCTCCTCCTCATTTTCGCACTGTCATGCCTGTCCTGGCCAAAGGCTCTCCATGACGGTAATAACATCTCGCATTAATACATCCTTTCTAATTAATCACTTGCACGTAAGTACATTAAGCATTCTATTTTGTGGTGCTCAAAAACCGCCCGGTACTCCCCTACAACCTCGATTACAATACAAAGGCCACTGGGCATTGTTTGACATAGATTTTAGCGGTGATATAGGTTTAACCTCATTACTGATGTTCACGTTTTAGCGTTTAGGTCCAGGTCATCTCCGAAACACTCAATACTTTTATTGCCATACTTCCTCATCATCCTACCATCATCTCTCCCTTTTGCATTAAGATGTCGACGTTATATTCATTAGAATATACTGGGGATTTTTATTTAGCATATTTAATTCAGTACTTGAAGAGACATCTGACGTCATATAAAAATCCCACCTTGATTCCTCCTCCCAATATTGCATGTGAAAACTGACATTGTATTTTTTTAATACAACATATCAGCAAATTGAAAAGACTCTGTCGAGTTCAACTAATGTGAATTTCTTGTAATACTTCATGATTGCTTGAGATCACTTGGTAATTGAGTTGATGGATGAGTGAGAATGTGCCAAGAATGTGTGGGACGGAGATAAGTTAATGGACAAAAGCCGAGACCATTTTTAAGATTTATAATTAAGAAACTAGTTTAACAAATTGAAAACAATTTCGATGGGCGTAGTGTATTACCATCTAGATAAGTGTCCAGGTGAATAAGAGCATGAATGCTCTAAATTGAAAACAAAATGAATTGATTGGAAGAATGAAAAGTTTGTCACTACTTTCCCCAAGGAAATCCTAATATCGTTACATCCTATTGCAACACATTTGCATATTTATTCAGAAACGAAGAGGTATTTAAAATTTTCTTTTTGTAAAATTTCAATAGCGATACTTTGTTGCACCTTTGGAGCGGTTGGTGCTTTACGCATTCAGATTCGCTGAATGTTTTTGCCAGTGACCTCTGAAGTGGATAAATTATTTAGCGTACTATGTTCGCTATATTAAAATTACTGTTGTTTACAGCTTCCATCCTCAACGTCATGGATGGCGTTGATATTTCGAGCAGTTCGGAAAGTGGCGATGAAAATATACATGGAATAAATAGCGATCTCAACGGTATTTAGCATTTTGTAAAATCACATTGTTCGATTTTATTTGTGTGTTTGAAGGACACTTAAGGAGGAGTGAGTTTAAAAACAGTGTGAATTCGGCAGATTTTCGAAATTCTTCAATTTCCGTCATGGATCGTACACGGCCTTTACAATGATTCATATGCAGGAAGAGAACTGTGGAGTAGTGGTAGTAATCTTGCATTGGAATCCGATGTTGATGCTGAATTGGATTATGACGAAGAGAATGGAGATAATGAAGAAGTGGAACGGATTGAGGAGCAATCTAAAGTATTTTTTTGCTTATTTCATATACATTCAAGATTTATCAGTTGAAATATTTTTTTTTTAGAGGATACTGAAGATTTACTTCGCTTCTGGTTTTTATAAGAGAATTATATTTTCAGGTTTCAGTGATAAAAAATGAAATAGGGAATGACAGTGAAAGAAATGGATATGATAAAAATTTAGCAAACCAAAGTGCTGTCCCCATTGAAGTTGGTCATATTGAAAGTAGAGCTGATAAAGTCGCAGTTGGGATAGGAAAGGAAGAAGTTGAGAATGAGCTAAGTGAGGAAGGGGAAATCGATGACTTGGAAGAAGGCGAGTTAAAATCTGATGAAGATAGTGTTACGGGTTCTATACATTCAAATGAAAAGTCGACTCGAAGGTCGGTAAGTTTTATATTGTTTTTTATTCATTATCATTCAATCTCAAAACCGTTTTATAGATGTCCTGCAATAAAAGGCTCAACACCTCGCGTAAGACACTGTCAATTTTTGAACTCTGTAATTTTTAACGAATGTTTTAAAAGTTTACCGAGGTGGTTAGAAAGATTTCGGAATCGAGTGACGATTACGAAGTTTGAATTGATAAATCATTTGCTCAAAATTTTCGAGATGAAATGAGCTAGTATTAGAGTAAGTATTGGTATAACAAATGCAATATTACAGTCTTAAAATGTTATATACAAGTAGCGAGAATCCCGTTCAGTAGCACAGTATTTTTGGTTATGCATGGACAGTGGTCTTCTTTGCAGTTGAATTACATCGAGTGAAATTTTCAGGTAGGTCGAAATCGCGAAAAAATTTTGGAACGTTCGCCGCATCGTTGGTGGCGCGACGATCCAGCATCGGTTGGCATTTGCAAATTTTATCTTCGTGGAACATGTACATGGGGACCAGACTGTAAATATCTGCATATGAAAGAGGTACCAAACGGTGCAAAATAATGCGGAAGTCCATCTATCATTTAGTATATGTATACCAGTAAAACATTGCAAACAGAACATCATGGAAATCTTATCCAACACATCTGATATTGTAACATAAACTTGAGCCTAAATGTGATTCGGCATAAAATTTCTAAACTGGAATGTTTTTCTTGGTACTCAACAAAAAATGGATTTAGTTACTTGAATTATCACACGAATAAATATAGTAACTTTTTTTTTTTAATTCAATACATATTTATCAAATTTAGTCACGGCTTGATGGTTCGGTACCAGTGCAAAGCTCCTCAAATGAAAGTGCTTACTCACAACGCTCGAATAATGACAAAACAAGAAGAAGCCGAAGCAAGGAATTCAATAAACGTATGTATCGGTTTTTAAGTTGCCATAAGGATTAATGTTTTGTTCAGCGGCAGACGGAATTTTGGACTAAGGTTACGTTACTCAATAAATGGTGTATATCACTTCACTTCTTAGTTTGAAATAAGTGAAATATTGATTCATAAGTTTTTGTCATTATTCAGCTGGCATCAATGTACTTACCGTTCACCCGTCTAGTTCAACATCGAACGAAAATGAAGGGTCGAACGGTGTTGAAACAGCTTGGGAGAAAGGATTACGTCAGGCGCGTGAAGTAGGTTACCATTTTTATGGTCTACTCTTTATTTATTTAAATTTTTTGAGAAAATTTTTATTCTAGTAAAAATATGCATTATCTAGTTAATGATAAGAGCGTCAAAAAAACGAGAAGAACCTGATTTTGATCGAAAACGATTGATACTTGCGCCTAGTGGAGATATGGATCGACCACGAACAACGGATGAAGAGTCAGACGATTCTCGTGGACATCGTAAAATGTCTGGTTACTATTTGTTGAGAATGAAATGTGAACTTTTACTTTGTTTTTGAATGTACTGTTCGCATCGTGATAAGGTAGGAACATCTTGTTTGGTTTAATTTTGTAGAATACTGGAATGAATCATTTAATTTAAATGTGTTGATTTTTTGTTTATAGTTTACTGTCAGAGTTGTTTAAGACGTCACCGAACATCGCGCTCACCGTTATGTCGAGGCATTGTAAGAGGAGCAAATGGTTTTGTGGTACGTACACGAGTTGATGTTCCTTGTCCGAGGCTCAGGAAATATGATAACCCAATCATATCTGACGATATTAACGGTAATTCCAGAATTTGCTTATATTTTTATTGACTTTTTTTGATTTTAAAACATAATTAATATGCTATTTCGACGTTATTGGTTTCGTTGCTCTCTTTCCTTCTCCATGTTTCCCTCTTCTTCTATATCATTCTTCGCTTTTATTTTCAGGTGATCGTCATTTTGACCTGGAACGTCGTGGTGCTTATGAAAGGAATGAATTAGCAAAGCCTCGGAAAATTCCATCTTTAATAGATACTATGCTCGAGGGAAGACGTTTTGAATTTTCAAGAAGTAGGTGTTATCCTTTCATTTTTCTTCAGTTTTTATATTCATTCTATATAAGATAAATAACGAAAGATAAATTGTATTTTTATTTAGAATATGACTGCGGGCGCGATGAGTCTTCTCGGCTGCCTCCTAAAGGTTGGTTTTTGCATTATTTTGACTTTTGTAGATTACAGGAGCTGCAGTCAGTAAAAGTTCAAAATATTTAGATCTTGGGCCACAAGTTCTATATCCGAATGGAAGGCCAACTTCTCGACGGCACGGGCCTCCCCCGAGACGTGAAATGTAAGTTTATAGTTTTAGATTATCGATGGACAAAGTTCATCTCAGAAATATTATAAATTTATATCATTACATTTAATCATATAGAGCTGAATATAACATTGCGGCTTATGTGCTGCTCATTTCGTGTGTTTCAGCTCGCCGAATGATCATTATCGTTTGTCACGGCGCGATTCTCCATCTCGTGGCTCCCGTTCGCCACTTTTGCGAACACCACGGGATTCTCGATCACCTAGTCTGCGGCGCTCGTTATCACCTTCAGGTAAGAAGCGCGGATCATCACATTTATCAGATAGACGAGAAGTAAATAGAAAACGAGGCGGTATTGGTGCTGTGGGTGGTCTTCTTTCAGGTTAGCTCTTTTCCTAGGAGTAATTTTTTGGTTTGTATGGTTGCCTTTATTCTGACGTACGATTTGTTTGATGTTAGATGTAGCACAGCTGCAATGAAATCTAGAAACACAATTTAAACTGGAAAGTGAGTCAGCTGTGAGTTAAATTTAGTTGAAAATCCTCCCAGATTCTAGCTGGAGATCAGATCCACGATCCGTGGGAAAGATCACACAAAAAAGGACGAAGCAAGGATAGAGAATTGATATCCTTAACACTTGGGGCAGAACTCCAAAAAGCTCGCCGAACAAGTGATAGCAAGAAGCAGGCACGTAGTCAGGGCACTGCTAGCTCGGCAAGCAGTGCTTCAAGAAGGTTTGTTAAAACTATTAAAATTTACGTGGACTGTTTCCTTATTTTTTACTTTTAATGTGAAATACTGCATAAATGAAATGATATATTTCTAGTAGATTTTTGGAATGCTTTTTACTTTTATTCCATTTTTAAATTTGTGTAAAACTCTTGCATGTTATTGAAACGAAATTTCGAATTCGTTTGAGCTTAGTTTTCTCGGTGTTAGAAGTGTAAGTGCGGATTCGTCAGTGACTTCCCGTTCTCGGTCACGCTCACGGGCATCCTCAGGAAGTCGTCATCAGTCGACGTTCCGTCTTTCGTTGGTGTCGGCTATTGCCTCCAGAAGTTTAATTGACGATGATGGATCTTTAAGAGCAACAGACCTATCGTCTTTCCGTATCCCAAAAAAGAAGAGGTTTTTTTTAAGCTTTCGTAATGTGATTTTTGTACTGTGTTAAAAAGACATATGTAATTAGTATTATAATGCATTTTAGGTTGTATTAAGTAAAATGAAATCGGATTAGAATCAAAAACTGACTAAAGAGAGAATCATATAATAATGTAAAGTGAGTAATACAACTAAGGAGCATTCTTTTACAGATCGTCTCCAACACCGTCAGTACATCGCTCCAGTGCCGCAATTCGTGGTTATATGCATTCATTCGAGCGGTCGAGCAATCAAAATAAGCGGTACACATCTTCCAACCCTCTCAAAAGGTTAACTTTTGATTATTCAGTAGAATTTAAGTTCATATTACTACAAACTTGAGTCATCTTTAATGGTTCCTTGTTAACTAATTATTTGCTGCTTATCATCCGGCAGTAAGTTCAGACCCTCTTTATCTCCATCGGTTCGCCCTGGAATTGCACAGCGAGGGACAAAAAAAGTAAAAGGAGTTACTGGTCGTGCCGATAAAGCTCATAAACGCAATGTTTTGCTCAGAAGAAAAGATATGTCAAGTGATGAAAGTTCATCGAGCACGTCTGGGTTAGTCTGTATCACTGACTAAATAGTGATTCAACTTCTTCCGTTCTTAAAATTGGAAATTTTAAGAAATTTTGATACGTGTGTGCCTGAAGTGTTGCAAATATCATAAAGTTCGGTTTTATGGTTGTATAAATAATGAACCACTTACGAAATAACTAGTGAATTTTTCAACTAAATGAGTTCATTATAATCAGAAACAATGCTGAACAACGGTTTTAGCATTATCGAAGATGAGTAATCATTACTATAACTAACGCAGCGACTATTTAGTGAATCAAAGGTTTAGGTTTAAAAAATAAACTAAAAATTATTTTAGATCTACCTTTTTTGTTGATGAATCATATGAATAATGTTTTTGAAACATTTTAAAACCGCTTGTACCAAAAACTTATATGGTGATAATTTAAGGAACTCGAGTAGCAGTAGTGATGATACGGAGCCTGCTGCGTATCGTCTCAAAAAAAAAGTCGATGATGGTTTGCCTACCGAAGGAATACCCCTATCTCCAGAGGCTGCGGCAGAAGATGTTTCCAGCGATGAGGATGAGGTGACCTTCACTTTGCAGCAAAAACCAACTTGCTCGTACAATGTATAAAACATATCTTAAGGGATTGAGCCAGTGTCGAGATCATTGAATAAGCAAGTGTCAAAGAGCAGCCATAGTCTTCCAAATGGGTAATTTCATCAGTGGAAGATATACGCGAAATGGAATTTGATTCCTCTTTCAACTTTCAAATATTTCTTCAGAATGCCTCCGATATATCTATACACGAACCGATTGCACAACATTCAAAGAAAACTTCGTCCGCTGGAAATTCACGACCACCTTCGAGAAAAGCAATTGTGGATTATCATGAATCAAGGATCAGTGGTATGTTACGATTTACGTTTTATATAAGGGACCTAAAAGTTATGAACAGTAACGGCTATTCATAATTCTTTTTTTAATTTCTTTATATTTCAGATGACGATTACGTGGATAATGAAGTAGAAAAGGAGGAACGGCGCGCTGAGTTATTACGTCAGTTGAAATGTGTAGAAGAAGCGATAGCGCGTAAACGTAGTCGGCCAGTTATTTAAAGTTATATGAACTATGATATTTCTTATCTAGTCTGCTGAGTATTTCTGTGGTGAAGGATTGTCTCATGGTTTTTGGTCGTTATTGATGATATAATTTATTTACAAATGTATTTTCTGTTCATAGGAACATTGTTTTAATTTATCTTCAGTTTTGGTTTTAAACCAGTATAACTTTTCGATGTCGGACTTCTCTAATTAACTTTTTTCTTTTATTAAATTGACCTTTATTTCTTAAGGGGGAAGTCTGAAAGTTTTGGAATCAAAGGAAACCACGATTTTGGTAGTGATCATCAAGACATGGTCTGTTTGAAGATAGATTATAAAAATGTGATGCTTGGAAATGGCTCTTTCAAAATAGAAGTTCTGTAATTGTACTTAATGACTTGTTTTAACTTTATCAACTTTTTTAGAATATTTGATTAGAATGAATGGTTAGTGGGTATTTATTATTTCACATCGGTTCGTATTTATATTTCCATTCTGCTTCATCTTTTTTTTTGGAATATAAAGTGGATAAAATTTAATTGGAAATTTGCTCTTTTCGATTGTTATACGGACATTTATATATGTTAGTTAGCAGCCAATGTTTGGTTCATTTGTTAAATCAGTTTTCTTAACTATTAAACTCCTATTATTTTGTATTTGCAAATTTTTACGCGGTTAATGGGATGGATAATCACATTTCTTCAGTTAAAATAATACTTATAAGATGTTCTGGAAGTAATGGGTGTAGGTCAAGTTTTCATTGAGGCATTTTGCTGAACATTTTGCTGGAAAAAATGGATATATAATTGTTACAAGTATTTTCCCTTTTTCAAGTTTTGGAATTTCTATTTGCGATTTGATTCTAGGTATACTGTTAAATCTGTTTTATGGTTCGCTTGTTCTCTCGGATGTAATTTGGATGTTAGTTCTTAAATTACGGAAATGAATGCTAAAGCTTCTGCTTCATTTGAACGACTGAATCCGCATAAAATTTTCATTTTGGAAAAACGAATTAAGAAGAAAGTTAAAGTCCGTCGACAGCCGTTGGAGAATTTTCTAAAGAGGAGAATTGTCAAAAGCGACTTGAAGAATTTGAAGTGTTTTCTTAAATCTTATATATCTATCATATGCACAAGGGAACTGTTATTGACAAATCTGATTTAATTTTTAAGAAATACATGCAGATAAAATATTTTCGATGCAGCCTACTTGTGAAAGTTTTCTGTATATTATTCATAATTGTTAGATGATACGGCTATTTTTTATCAAAAGCTATTAAAAAGATAGTACCCAAGATTAGAAATTTAACTTTTTGCAGCATCAAAGTATATATCCAGTTTATTCGTAACTGTTCAATTTCAGATATTCGCAGTTCGAGCCACTCTATGAATTGTGGTGTGACTATTTTAGCACCTTAGTTGATGGATCCGGTGGTCAATTGGATGCTCGAGTGCTGAAGGCCGATTATCATGGATGCCTGCTGATGGTCGCTGAAGCTGCTAATCCATCGCAGGTGCTTTTACACCCTCATCATGAGCATTTCAGTGTCTTTACGAGGAATTCTCAAATTATTTGCAGTATTCCTGGTTTCAAATAGTGACGTATTAAGAAATTTCTAGTGTTCTATTTTAGGTTGGAATTTGTGGCATTGTAACTCGTGAAACTAGACAAACTTTCATGCTGATTACAAAACAAGATCGTTTGCTAAGTTTGTTTTAAACGGATATATTTTTATAGAATTTTATTTTCTCTTTTCCGCATTTTATTTTCTATCTATTCTAAACTAATTATTTCATTATACACTTTAAGGAACTGGGTAAATTTTCGAAATTCCCCTCTTCAATTTTTTGCTTAATTATTATATTTCTAGCTATTCCAAAGCAAGATACCATATTTCAATTTGCACTAGAAGGCAAAATATATATTTTATTCGGTAACGCATTCAGGTTAGTTTTATAAATAAGCTCTATTGTTCCATTAATTGTATTCAAATTGCTTATATTTTATTTGTAGGCATATTTTTTAAATTTAATCCTGAAAAAATATCTTCATTGAATAATTACTGCGATTTTCCTTTTAGATTTCAACCGTCATTGCGAGCAAAAAAAATATTAAGAAGTCGTTCCTCAATTCCATTCTTTCTGAAATAATATTTAATTTTATTTCTTTTTGTGTTTCATGGAAAATACGAATAAAAAATTCACTATTTACATTTGCAAAAACATTTTTTACTTTCCAAGTGGAAAGCGGAATCATGTTTGTTTTTCCGCGAGGTACTTTTTCATTGGTCATTCCTTTTTCTAATATCTTTGCTCGTAAGTCAAGTTGTGCTTCTTCTCAGAGCTTATTTATGCTCTGGAGTTTATGGACTTACAACGATTTCTTCAATGCAGTTCTATCAAATGACGACACTATGAACTATTAAAAAGGAGACATATTACTCTCTTGTGTATGTGAATTTGCAATTATAGGGAGGTGTGTAATATTAGACAGAAGAAAGTTTATTGTTCAAGTTTCATCATCGGAAACAAGGTTTTATAAGGATTTTGTGGACTTGAAGATTTGATGACTGAATTAAATTTATCCAGTAATTTGTGGTATCAAGTAGGAAAGCACTCGTATAAAAAAAAAGTTTCAGTCGAACTCTGACATCGATCATCTGCAGTTGTAAACCTTCAATTGCTGTGGCATTACCTCCAGCTTATAATATGATCAATGAAAAAATGAAAGAAAAGACATTGTATTTTTAATTGGGTTTTTTAAAGTATGTTGCGGGATTAAATCCAACAAAGAAATTATATAGTCAACTTATAAAGAAGTGAACAAACAGAAGCCAAATAATAGTATGGAAAGGCATTAGTATGAATTTAACACATGCATATCATCGTGACGACATTGTCATACTGAAAATAAATGAATTAGATACCAGTATTCTATTTCATTAGCGCAGATGTCTTCAAGATTATATCATCTTAACCTGTCTGCAATTTCATTTCTATTAGCGGCAGCATCTTTATCGATTATCATCGAATTGGAATTCAACCTATACTTTATAATTAATGAATTTAATTAATCCATAATATTTCTAGAACTTTTGAAATGTTTTTATTATTTAGGACAAAAGTCGATTAAAATAGGTGGATGAATTAACAGTCTACAAAAGATACAATCATTTTTCCACTCATCAACTTGCCAATTAAACGAGAATTAAATTCTGGTTATCAATCAATCATGTGTAATTTTAAACGGAATGAAAAAAATTGTATGCCATCATTATTTGTTGAACAAATCAACTTATGTTGTGTGGAGAATCATATCATCAATGCTGCACCACTTGCGCCACACTATATATGTGCATGTGTATGTCAGTGTATGTGTGGGTATGCGTATGTCTATGTGTGTGTGTGTGTATGTATGTGTGTATGTGTGTTTCTCGAATGGTATTCGTACAGTGAAGGTCGTTATTAGTGTTGACGAGAATGTTTGTTCGATGACGAATGCATTCAATTCTCTTTGCATTGCTTTTCTCATATGTTTGTGAATATGTAGTCAGTTATTAGTGCATAGGATATTTCGCCTCTATTGCTTAATTTTGGTTCAAGTGTCCAGGATCATTGCTGGACATATCAGTTGAACTTTGATCAATAGCCAAGATTGGGGTTACAATCGCTACGATGCGACCAATTTGAATAAGTACTATAGGACGAACTAGAAGAATGAATTGGGCTATTCTTCACTTTTATTATGAAAGATGGCATAATTCCGCCGAATATTGACCTTTGACCTCTTGTTATTTGACGATTGATTTCCTAGAAGTTGTTGTCATCTGTGAATGTAATAATTTTTCTATGGTTTTATTGAAAACGAGTTATAAAACGCAGTTGCTCTCTCTTTTGCGTTCTCATACATATTAATAGACACTAATAACTGTATTTCTTTTCGATTAAAACATTTATTTTTTTAAAATTGAAAACCCCAAAATGTACCTTTTCTTTCGTTCTCTTCCAACCATTCATTATCTTAGCTGAGCTGACCTCAACAGCCTCAAAAAAAGGCCTTAACTATCTATTATGTTCATTTTTATAGTTATCCGGATATTTTGCATATACCGTTGCTGTAATCAAAATGAACAGATTGAACGGAAAAGGAATGAGTAGTTATATTTCTGGGAAATTTCACTCAAGTTCTTCATTGTAATGCGGGAACAGATTATAGCAATTATAAATAATCGAGTAACTTCATTAGGCAAGAAATTATTGGGTAAAACTTATACATACAAACAAATTAAGCTAAATATGATCAAATGACCGAGGCGATGACCACTTATGACCATCATTACCAAATCTATCCATTGTGCTTTGGTTAATGACCAAGTAATACTTCCCTAATTAATGACTACATTCTTTTAACGGAGCAAAATAAAATTTACTATTATTGTCTGCACTATCTCTTAAATATTAAATTTATATTTTTTAAATTGAACAAATAACCGAATTTAAATTAATAATTTTCCGTGTGAAATATTTGAAAGAATTGATCTTTTTTAGCGCATTATGTATAATTAAAGCACTTTTGAAGAAATTGATTTTGGCGCTTTATGTATAATTAAGTTTGTTTTATTTTAAAAGACTTCTCCTTTTAATTGTTTTCTTTTTTGAAAAACGAATAAGTAATGTTTGATTTCAGAACGATTGTATTAAAAAACGATTATTATAGCTCATATCACACCGCGATAAGCGGGTCAAGAATTATCGGTATTTTAAATAACAATATAATTCGACATGATGCTCAGGTAGCTATTATCTTTCCAAACACAATTGAATGCTTTACTTTTGTTTGTTAACTATGGTAATTTATAATACATCCTTCCATCAGACATTTAGTATTCAAAATTAAATTTTATTAATTCTATTTATTGGAATAGATAAATGTTTTTTTTCGTGAAGATTGAAAGGCATTAAATCTATTCCAATAATTTAAAATTAGCATTACATACAAACAACAGAAGTAATTGTTTATTCCCCGTCTCCCAGATATTTATTGTAGATGAAACTGGACTATATGTTACCTTCTACAATTATTTCCATTAATTTCTCGGGATAATATTTCATAAGTTTTTTTTTGAAGGAATGGATTGAAATATTAAAACTGCACGAAAAAGTTTGAAAGAAACAATCAGAGATTATCAATTTTAACAATGTATACTACTGGTTGGAAATGATCATACACTTCCGACAACTCATTTTGTTGATTTTAATTACAATTTGTAGCTGTAGTCAACAGTTACTCAATTTTATTCGTACCGAACGAGCTGCTGTTTATGTTAGTTTATTATGATAACAAGCAATTAAAAATGATAAAGGATTGATTGATTATTGTAGCAAATGGATGACTCTTTTTCAATGAGATTCTTGATACTGAACTTTTGGAATTGTTTTTCTTTAAAATCGGTTTATAGATCATTTAAAATTCATTTAAATACCTTGCTTATTAGTATTAAAATTCATTTATGAGATCACCTATTACGTTGCTTACTATTATTAAATATTGGGGAATTATAGTATGTAGGCGTAATTATTTAAAATTAACCAGCCTGAATTCGTCGAATTCAAGGAGTTACAAATCTTTGCGTTTATCTAAAATAAGTTTCAATTTCAAAAAAAAAAAACATCATTTATTATGTTTGCAAAATTAGGCTTCTCATAGAAAAGATTTCTTTCCTGAGTCAATGAAATCTTTTCCATGAGAAGCCTAATTTTGCAAACATAATAAATGATGTTTTTTTTTGAAATTGAAACTTATTTTAGATAAACGCAAAAATTATTTGCAACTCCTTGAATTCGACGAACTCATGTAACTTGATTGAAAAGTTCATGTTTTAATCAAAATGTTTTTTGCCGTAAGAAAATTTGAAAAGCTTTGTAGATTGTTCTAAGTTAAAGATTAGGGAGTTGAAATAGCAATCTTATCTTAGCTATTTTTGTGCAGGCACAGTTTTAATTTAATTTGGCTCTGGAGTAGCAAAGTGGAAAAATTTTCTGTTCAGAATGTGTCATTTCGAAATCTCTCAGTAATTCAAGCTTTCTGGAAATGGTTAAACAAATTTGAGAATCTTTAACAGATTAGCTGTTGATGTATCATTAACGAATAACCTATGTTATAACAAAAAGATAAGACAACTGATCTCAACTTCTCGGGGATAAAAAAGTAGCGGAAAATGCTAAAAGGCAGATGATAATTAGTATTACTGTTAAATGAACTCATTGTGTTATCATTTAAGCAGAGTCATTCAGTTCCACCGCAATCATTTTTATTTATTAATGGTTCAGTGCCAATGCCAAAAGAAGCAGTTCGACCTTTTGAAAGGTCACTTCGAGATGGCACAGCGACAATTGATGTAGCTGTTGCCTTATGGTATTTTTTTCAATTTAAGAATAAGTCAATTATCACAAATCTTTGCTGTAATTACTATTCATCTTATTACAATAGCATTTTGATATTTTTTACTCTTTCTGTAGTTATTTATTTCTATTTCAATTCCTCTAAGAAGATCAATTTTTCAAAATTTACAAAATGCAATTGCAATTAATTATTTAAAGATATTATTCAATTCCTCTTGTGAAACTAAAAATGAATTATTAATCATTCATTCTGAATTTGTGAAATTTTATTTCAGGATTCCAGGAGCTGGTATCCCCGCCATTTGGGGTCGAGCTTGGGAAGAAAATGGTGGAACGCAAGCTCTATTTATTTTTGGTGATAAGGTGAAAGTTTTAAAGAGAGGTTTTCGACTATTAATTTACAGTGGTTCACCAGACACTAATGGATTCAAGTAAATGTCATTTTCTGCTTATTTTTTATAATTGTTTAAATATTCTAAATTAGTAAATTTATCTTACAAAAAAACTGATTTTAAAACTGCTCATCTTGAATTCTCGTAAATCTGAATTAATTTTCGGTTTACTTGGATGCGGGTAAAAGATGTTGATCATGGTACGGTACTATTTTCTGGTGCTAATATGCATACACCAGCGGTATTCTCAGATTGTGGTCAATATGAATTTCTTGGTGATGCAGATTGGCAGAAAAGAAGTATGGAATTTGTGAAATATGATTCTGATGAACCGCATACAGTTGCAAATTATGGTGGAAAACTATATTTTGACGATGATGTTTATGTGCTCACCAAACAACGATGTAGTTGTCGGTGTTAATTTCTGACTTTTTTATAAGAAATGAATATCGACAGATTATCTAAGTTTGGGCGGAAAATGTTCTACATATTATATAGTTCGGTGATAATTTAATAGTTAGCAATGTATTAAAAGAGTTATCGAATTGTGATTGAAGTAAAAAAAGAAAACTCTGTAACTTCACTGTGATATTTCGCGGCGCTATTTTTATGTTTGTTAGTATCATTAAAAAATAAATTATTTCTTTCTGAATTACCTCAACAAACACTTTCATCTTAGTCTTTTTGTTTCATTTATTTGTATTTCGATATTATATTTTATGTAATCTTTTCCTTCAATCTAATGCTCCTTTTTTAATTCTTGACAGATGGAGATCAAAAACTGATAATTAATTATTTCATCACAGAGAAGTAGAGGAAGTCATTATTCACTTTTCTGTTAAAAATAATTATTTTATTTTAAATTATTTGGCTAAAAGGTGTATTCTTCCTTACTGCCTTAAAATTCTCACTTATGCAGCTGTGATTGTAAAGTGATTTTTTGTTTTATATATTCTTTCTCTCTGATATATTTAATGATTTTATCAATATTATCATTTATTATTTCCATTTGGAAAATTATAAATCGATACAACTGATGAATTAATTATTTCTTTTGTGAAATATATGGAACAAATGTGACAGGTTACATTTTCATTAGTCATTAAGAAATTGCGAATTATTATATTTACATCAAGAGATTAGCAATATGAGATTAGGATATCGTCATTTTAATCAGATTGAAAATTAAAAGTGATTTAAGAAATGAGGTAGAAAAAAAATGAAGATTCTATTACAGATTTGTTTGACAATGCCTCTCTCATAAAGCGACAGAGAAAGAAAGAGTCGGTTACTTTTTGTTGAATTCTCTGAAATTCATCAATTTTGTGAGTGTTTAGGCTTCTTAATTAATTATCGGCGATTGCAATTGTTTACTTTTGCATATGTTTTGAAAGTTAAGTTTAAATAAAAGTTTGTCATTGGTTGAAACAAAGTTTAATTTAACAAAAGAGTTAATTGCATTCATAATGAAATCTGAAAGAATTAATAAATTAAAAAAGAATGATAATTAATTCGAATATTATCTTTCTTTCTTTTAAAATCATAATATCAGTGATTTTTGCGCGTTATAATGACAAAAAAGTGTTGTGATATTTTCCTTTTGATTTTAACTTCTTCTTCTTCTCTTACACAATTTATGAAATTGATTTAAGGAAAATATGCTCAGATCCTGAAAAACTTGCTATTTATTGGTTTACAACGATAACAAATGATATGGATATATGTGATGTATTTGTGAAATTCTTTTGCTAAATTTATTTCCAATCAATCAAATTGAAAATTTTTTGTAATTTAAAGGATTTTAATGAAAGAAACATTTTCAACATCTATTTCGATCATTAATTATTTCTTGAAGAATTATTGCAATTTTGATTTTATTCGATGTCAACAAGATTTTCCACTGTATCCCTCACCAAATTGCTTTTTGAAAAAAAGGAAATAATACAACATTAATAAATAGTATGAGTGAAGAAAAAATCCTAAATAATCTGTGCTATGAAATTGAAATTTATCAAAGCATTTGTTATAATTAAAAATTTAATAATATTTTCTTGTTTTATTGAATTACTGTTAGAGTAAAGAAATATTTCAAATGAAATCTGTAAATGATAGATATTCTCGATCCTTTAATTTCATCAATAAGCAACAATAATAGCATTTCTCTCTCAAGCCATTTCATCATTTCATTTCTTCTCTTTCATTCAAACTAATTTTTATTTCATCTACCAAGTTGGAATATAATGGAAAGAGAAGAGCTGGAAGAGTTTAAAAAGTCTATAAGGAGAATAATTTGTAAGTTCTATTACGATAAATAAAAAGTAATAAAGAGAAGAGTAAATAAATTAAAGTATGTGTTCCAAAGGGACTTTGAAGGATCTAATGCTTATTTCTTCTTTCTTTCTTTCTCTCTCTCTTTCTTGATAAAAGAGTTCAATCTAACAGATTTCAGTCAATTCATCAAAAATAAAACTAAATGGTCTCTTTGCAATAGAATGGAACTAACTGATCGATCACTTCCCCACCTATTTCTTACAAATGCGAAATGAAACTTTCATCTTTTTTTAATGAAAATTTCATAATAATTTTAAAAAATGATTTTAGCAAAAAAAGGAAATCGATTAGTTAATATATTTAACATTAACACATATTGTTAGCGCTGTTTATTCTCTTTCTTTCACTGTACTTCTTCATGTTAGATTTTGTTATCACTAATGAATATCAAGTTACAGTTTAATTTTTAGTGATAGGAGATAAAAATTGAAATTTCCAACTCTCATTGTCTATTACTTCTCTGTTATTTTTGTAATTACTGCCTATAATAGACAGTAATTACAAAAATGATTGATAAGTAATAGAACTGGCAGATCGAGTAAAGATGAATTTGCCTGGGAAGAAGTTTTATTGCTTCTTTCACAGAAATTTCACTGAAATATGGTAAGAAATGGCTTTGTGATCGTACATTAAGAAAGTTATTTGTCAGCCAAAATAAGCCAGGAATGACAGGCCAAGATATGATTCACTTATAATGATTTTTCAGGATATGATTCACCTGCAATAATTTTTAATTCAACATTTCGTTTAAATTCTATTATTACTTAAATAGACATAGAAATGATTTATTACTAAAGGTAGATTTCTGAAACTTTAAAGAGAGAAAAAAAACTTCCGAAAAAATTTAATGACAGTTTCTTGCAGCATAATTGAAAGGTTTTCGTGATGTATAACATTACACTCAGTTAATTTTTCCACTTCCAATACTGAAACAAAAATTTACTAAGAAAAACAAAAGATATTAAATCTGAATGAATATATGTTCACATATTATTAGTAACTTTTATTTATTTTAATAATACAAAAAGCATTTTTTAGGAGAAATCTATTAAGAAGTTCAGAAGCTTTTGAAGCAACTATTTAAAAATAATAATCGATTTTCATAGAATCTCAATTTTAGTTTTATTCGCTCTAATTTTGAAAATTGAAATTGAAATCCAAATTTCAGGGGATAATAGGTTTTCAAAAAAAGCAAAGATTTTATTTGTTTTCAGAACATCCACTTTTCTATAAAAGTTCCTATTCATTTTTCACATACACAATTTTCACCCCTCCGATACTTGCACAATTAAGAGAAGCAATAACGAATTCAATCGTTGATAACTGAAAAGTTTGAAAGCTATATAAACTTGCGTTAAAAAGGTGCTATTCGTTTGCAGTCACGTCAATTACGTTATTACATGATGAATACGTTGAATTGAACAATAATTTGCTATTGATATATATTAGATCTTATCAAAGACCAACACATAATCAAATATTAATATTTTATGTAGCAAATATTATATCTCACTTTTTAGTAACCTAAATCGTTTGGTTTTTTTTTAATGGAGATAGTGGTATTTTCTGAATGTTCTCTTCTGTACCATTTATTCGATGCTTACAGGAGGAGAAACATAGCTGGTTGAAGGGGACCAATTGATTTTGAAAACATGACAATTTGGTCCAACTACAACCAGGTATGTAAATGTCCGTAACGTATTCTGCCAAGAATCGATCATTGCTTTTTCATTTTTTTTTTTAAATTCATCAAAACAAAAGTTTTGTATTTGGGGAAACGCAGTAATTCGAGGAAGCAAATTTTACTATCATACATGTCTAATAGAAATGTCACCACGTATGTCTCATAAATGTATCATACACGTTTAAATGTCATCACGCATCTCTAACAAATGCTATCACACACGTCTAGTAAATGTCATCATGTATTCTTAACTTAGTAACAATGTAAAGTAAAGTAGTATGTATCCATAAAAAATTGCTAACACTAAAATTTGTTATTGAAAGTGTTGGAGATAAAAGAAGATGAAAGGAAAATTAAGGCTTGTGAAATGATAACAATGTTACACGATACATAACAAATGGAAAGATTACATAATTGATACAACTAATTGATACGAACATTTAATGAAAGTAAAATGATTAAATAAGACAATAGACATTGAATTAGTATGAATCAATTAGGAATGTATTGCTGCTCAACTGAATATATCGATATTTATTCCTCTGAAAGATCGATCGCTTCCGGAATTAGTATCTCTGTCTGTTCTTATCACTTCATATATCCAAGAAAGGATTTTTTTCTGATCACATATTTGAGAGATATTTTTTCTCTCTTTCTTTTCTCTTTCTATTCTCTGTTCAATTCTTTTGTCTAAAAGCTTTCAGTGTAATCTTTTAAATGCTATCGCAATATGATAGCATCGTGTAATCCTCGTTGTCTTTTTCTCTGCTAAATCCATCAATTATTGAAATTTTTATTCCTGAAAGCTAATTTTTTCAACTGCAACTATTGCTCAATGATTTTGGACACTGTCCACTACAATTCGAATAATATCCATAAGTGATTTTATGCATTCATAAATGCTTGGGAAACAAGAGGAGAAACAGAGAATGACTTCGTTGCGAGAATTTTTCAGACGCCATTGCATAGTGTAATATCCATATGATAAGGATGATGCATTAAGTGCGATATTATCAATATTGATATGATAATCCCACATTTAACAGTTTTCATAGGTTTCACATCCTTTATCAAATGAACATTTTGCAAGATATACAACAAAAAAGTGATATCGATTAAAATAAAAATGTATGCAAACAGTGACACTACACAATTCATCAAGCGATGAAAGAAGATGATAATCTCTTGATTACTTACTTAATCACTAACCTACATTCTTAATAGATCTATCATTTCTTTTCTCTCTACTTATATCATAGATATCATCAACATTTGATATTCGCGATATTCTAAAATTATAATCTTTCGTTGAATTAATACATCCAAAGTGATAAAATCTAATAAGCTACACAAATGAAATAAAATATAAAGAAGTAAGAATAAAGAAAGAAATTTGTTTTTTGATG